ATTACGTCTCAAGTTTCTGTTATTGTCGTTAACTATTAACTCTCATCGAGGGGAGAGATTCTCAGGTTTCACAACAGCCGCGTGTTAAAAAGAGAAAGTTAATAGTAACAACGTTGACCGAAACTTGAGACGTACTCGGAGCATCAGGCAAGATAATAATCCCTTCTAAACGACTCAAAAAGACACCAGAACACAGGTAAATAACAGCACATTTATTTTTACTGCTGATCAATATAGTGTTTGGGACCCCTGTGGTTTCTCACTTGGTTTGTGAATTGCATCTTGTTCAATCGCAAGTTTAAAGTGCGGATACCACTCTAGTATCTTTTGTTTCTGTACTCAATATTTCAGCAACTTTGACCCTGATGACAATGAAGACGTGGATCGATATCAAACTATGAAAGACATCTCTTAGCACCTAGGCTTTGTATTAGCGCAGATTAGATAAGTCTACTACTCACAAACTCTGTTTATCTCTTACACCGTGAGCAAACTACGTGTCTTGTCTGTTTTGTTGACATTGTTGCATGTAACAATAATTGTTACACTTAACATGTAAAGTGAATTAAATGCCTCTCTCTAATGAAATGCCTCATATCTATTCAATGCCCCTCCAAGATTTAATAGACACCCCAGGCATTTGGTAGATCATTTAGGGTAAATGTAAAAAGGAACTACTTGAACATGTAATGATGTTATGATACTAGTAGCTGGAAACAAAGAAGGCAGTTCCACATACAAGAACATAAAAGTGCACCTACCATGGTATTGTTCGATGATTGACTTGTAGAGATGATGGTACTATCTTTCTGTACTTGAGTTCCACTGCTAAAAAGCCCACTTGATGTTGTTGGTGAGGATGAACCAAATAGTCCAGGTTTTAATGCAGTTTTTACACCAAACAAACTAGCTGATTGGCCAGAGCTTGTACCAAACAAGCCTCCTGATTGGTTAGTTGCAGTGAAAGTACTCGTAATTCCAGTCATTCCCGTTGTATGCTTGGTTGAGTTGGCATTGTTGCCAAAGACACTTCCTGTAACGCCTGAAACACTGCTCTGTCCAAACACACCTGACTGGTTGTTAGTACTTCCTGTTCCAAACAGACCTGATAGGCTTGAACTGTCTGAAACAGTTGAAAATCCACTAGACTGGAGAAGAGGACTCCCACCTCCAAAGCTTCCTCCCAATCCCCCTTTTGACTGGCCAAAGGACCCACCGCTACCAAACATTCCACCTCCCGTGTTTGTCTGTTGAAAAATGGATGTTCCTGATTCCATGGCTTCTGAGCTCGGGAGTTTGGTCTGTTGCTTGATCTCTTGTTGCTTAGGGAAGTAAAATATACATCATTTGCCAGCCTAGGTTGGTCTGTACATAGTCTAAAACATTTCCCTCAGTCTTGAGTATGGTATGACTTTGTGGTCTTCAGCCTCAAACCATACTCAAGACCCTTCCCTATGAGGACCTCCTGACTAGCAAATAACATCAATTATATATTTCCTGATTGTTCAACAAATGTTTTCTGTCCACACTATCCCTTGAGGTCAAGGGGAAACAAAACTCACTATTTCCCCACAGGGCCAGTCATTAAGTGTTGTGTCATACCTCCCACCTCAAACATAGAAAAAAGAACTGTGAAAAAATTGTTTGCTTGATGCTGGCTGGCACAAAAACTTTGCTGCGTTTTCAAGGTGCACGACATGACCATGTACGGGTCAAAAGTTCAAGTTGTTGTTTCTCTACGGAGCTAGTGAGTTTTGACCAACAACACGTGACATGTTCTCCTCCAATCAGATTTGAGTTGGTAGGCCAATACTCCATCATGAATGCTAAAGCAAGAAATTCAAGAGTAAGGCCACTAAAAAGTAAATTATCAATGAATGAATGAAAATTCCGAAGAAAATCTAGGCTTGTAATAACTCGTGGCAGTTTAGGANCCCCCCCCCCCCCCCCCCCCCAGGGTCAGAGTAGAGAGACTGAAATAAAAACTTGTAAATGCATGAACTGTCCACTGGGAGCGAAAAAAGTGGCTGTTGTAGAGAGGTGCTCGTTGTAAAGTGGTAGCTGTTAGTGAAGGTTTAACTGTACTTAGCCTTTACCCAAAGAAAGTTGCTTTACATGCAGTTACCACAAAAGAAACACTATGATTTTTTAAGTACATCTGATTCAACAGGTACATACCCTCTTGATGTGGTACGTCGTCGAATGCAGATGAAGGGTGCAACTGGCGAACTGTTCAAGTACAACTCAACGTGGCATGCTTTTAATGTGATTGCTAAAACTGAAGGAATTCATGGTCTTTTCAAGGGAATGTGGCCAAATCTTTTGAAGGTAACACAGTACAACATATATCATTAAAAACTGTTAGTAATAAATTTAGTTAATTTCATTTCTGTTCATGGAGCTCTTTTCGCCAGGTTTGATTACCAGCCAGCTCTTTAAGAAAGACCTGAGCCTGTGCTCCCAAGGGACATACATGTAGCTACAAGAAGACAATATACTGTACATGACTTGTACCATATCCACAGTCACAACCACTGGGTATAAATGGCATAAAATAAGCAAGTTGTGGTCTACTCGAGTTCTCAACCTCTCTCTCTGTCACCCAAGGTAGCGTCCTTAGAAGCCTAGTGTTACGTGACTGAGAGAGGGCCAGAACTGGATTAGCTGGGGTCTAAACTGGATTTAAAACAACACCAACACTTTTTACACCATGTTTAAATCAATGCACTCTAAACAAACTGTAGCTCCTCAGTATTGCGATATTTATCAGGGGTGTAGCCAGGATTTTTCAACGGGGGTGTCATACTGTGCCAAAATGAGGGTACATGTACTCACCAGATTGTCATGTCATTTTCCCACCGGTTGTAGGTTGTTTGCTTAAAAAACGGCTTACAAAGGGGGGATCACAGGCATCCCAGGACCCCCTAGCTACGCCCCTGTTTATTACAACTGTGCCACAGCCTTGAGTATTATGAAAACAGACCAGTCCTAAAGATCATTTGTTATTGCTTGTAGGTGGCACCCACTATTGGAATTCAGTTTGCTGTGTATGAAGTGTGCAAGTCACTTTTACATAACTACAGTCTGACTGAAAGTTTGTAAAATACTAGAAAAGGACATTGTCAGAAGATTCAGATTTTAAATTGATGTGACATACAGTTGAACTACATGCATGCACACCAACCATGCAATGGAGACCATGCTCTGCAGAAGAGTAGTTTACCGGTGGTCCTGTTATTGATTATGAATTTTGTCATAACATTGTCAAAGTAGCTGTGGATTTACGAGGCGATAGCCGAGTGGATCCACAGACTACTTTGACAATGTTATGACGAAATTCATTGTCAGTAACAGGACAGACGCATAAGAAACTGACGTCAATTTGTTTTTTTACGATTTAAAACAAATTGTCAAATTGTCTGCTGTCGCTCGTTGGTGCCTCCCATAATCTGTCTGCATATTGGCAATGAAAATTAGCCAATGAGCATGCGGGAATTCCTGCAGTTACCATAAAATATCTGTTTAATGCAGGATCTATAATCTCTGAATATTGCTCTGATGTATGTTTCTAGATGGTAGTCTGTCATGGTCCTGCCGCCCAAGCCAGTGTAATTCTGAGTGTTGCAGCCAAGAACATTCGCCATTTCCACATCCCCCATAATACACCTTGTTTGCCCCTGAGAATTTTGCATAAGCACTGTCTTCAGTTTCTCTTGGGACGACTGTAATACCCAGAAGAATTGGGAAACAAAGGTTATGCAGAATTTTGGGGGGCAAACAAGGTGTATTATGAGGGATGTGGAAATGGCAAATAACAGAAAATGCCAACTAGGCTTGTTCTGAAGATAGAGCTGAGTCAATAGTAGAGAATCAAATGTACTTCAGATAGCTATATTTTTTCAAAAAATATTGATAATTGCATTATAATCGTCATCCTGATTATTTACAGTATACATGTAGAACACTGGTACTTTAAAATAGTTTTAAACTTCGAAATTATTTTTAGGTACAAAGGTAGTGTTCTAGAGGTATTTAAAAGGGGTCTGGCTAGGCCAGTCTCGCTAAGTTGTCAATCACCAGTGTTAACTACATGTCCAAACAATACTACTCCTAACTGGTGACAAATAACTCTAGAATCTGCTGCTTCTTTTGAATTTGAAGCAAGTCTAGTTAATTATGGCATGCCAGAGTCTTTGACGTGTACCAGAAAGTTACATGTATGTGAAATGTAGGAATTATCATCCAGCTATTAATAAGATCATGGTTGTTTTGCATGGATATAAAGGTACAAAGTACAGAGTCACTAGGTCACACTTTTAAATTTAGGCTACAAAAAGTTGGGTTTCATCTTAGGATTAATATAATTTAAATAACCTTGTGCAATGAAATTAAGAAATCAGTCTGACAGGAAACAGAGGGTCATGAAATGTGACTAGAAAGAATGATTTTAAAAGTCACTATGCTGGAACTACACTTTACAACCACCTTGCCAATATTACCAGCTCATTATCACTACCACTTCCAAAAAAATGCTTAATCGACCATTTTCTTAATACAAGTACACATTTGATAGAACCACAATTTTATAGCCCAGAGGTGGTCGTATTATGGGATTCCACTGTACTATCTAACTTCATTCTACATAATAATATAATAAAGTTAAATTAATATGAACTCCATTATGTATATTATGTGACTTATTATAAAATTAAACATCTTGGGCATTTTTGCTCAAATTAATCATTTTTGGCTGTCTGATGTTGGTTGTGCAGTGTTTTTCAAATGAAAACTTTATGAGTGTGCCAATCTAATGAAAATTGTTCAGGAAAGGTTAAAGTAATACTTGACTGTTCCCTTGACTGCAACAGGAAGTGTACGCCATCAGCAAACCTGTGCTTGCACACTGCACTTCTCACTGTCATTTACTTGTAGTACCTAACTCACAGCCAAACTAAGTTTATCAACACAATTCTAACGGAGGAGGGCACTCTGGTATTTTTCCCAGCACAAAACTGTCTGCCCTAAAGGCCTGCATATCTTCGTCACTGCAACTTAATGTCACAGGTGCTGCTGTGGTTATTGTGGTTGCTGTTGTGGTTCTTGTGGAAGGTGTTTCTGACTGTAGGGATGTGGATCCCTGTAGAAGAAACAAAAGTGCTTGAACAAATATGGAACGCCATGTAAACACCACCACATCGAGTACAACATAATGAACTTCATACCAAGTACCATAAATGATCTAATAAATGCCTTGTCTCTAAAGTTTCTAATGAATATCTCCCTCCTTAGGGGTAAAGTTTACATTACATGTCCCCCTCCAATAAACGCCCCGGGTCTAGCACATGCCTCTCACAAAGAAGCACCTCATAAACAAAAGAAACACTCCATAGATTTATTAGTTTCCCCACAGGGAACTTGAACACTACATCAGCAGAGTCGTTTAGAAGGGATCTGAATGAAGCGATGGCAGTTTATATTTCCGAATATTATCTCGTCTGCCACTTTGTAATTATGACGCTCCGATTACGTCTCAAGTTTCTGTTATTGTCGTTAACTATTAACTCTCATCGAGGGGAGAGATTCTCAGGTTTCACAACAGCCGCGTGTTAAAAAGAAAGTTAATAGTAACAACGTTGATCGAAACTTGAGACGTACTCGGAGCATCAGGCAAGATAATAATCCCTTCTAAACGACTCAAAAAGACACCGGAACACAGGTAAATAACAGCACATTTATTTTTACTGCTGATTAATATAGTGTTTGGGACCCCTGTGGTTTCTCACTTGGTTTGCGAATTGCATCTTGTTCAATCTCAAGTTTAAAGTGCGGATACTACTCTAGTATCTTTTGTTTCTGTACTCAATATTTCAGCAACTTTGACCCTGATGACAATGAAGATGTGGATCGATATCAAACTATGAAAGACATCTCTTAGCACCTAGGCTTTGTATTAGCGCAGATTAGATAAGTCTACTACTCACAAACTCTGTTTATCTCTTACACCGTGAGCAAACTACGTGTCTTGTCTGTTTTGTTGACATTGTTGCATGTAACAATAATTGTTACACTTAACATGTAAAGTGAATTAAATGCCTCTCTCTAATGAAATGCCTCATATCTATTCAATGCCCCTCCAAGATTTAATAGACACCCCAGGCATTTGGTAGATCATTTAGGGTAAATGTAAAAAGGAACTACTTGAACATGTAATGATGTTATGATACTAGTAGCTGGAAACAAAGAAGGCAGTTCCACATACAAGAACATAAAAGTGCACCTACCATGGTATTGTTCGATGATTGACTTGTAGAGATGATGGTACTATCTTTCTGTACTTGAGTTCCACTGCTAAAAAGCCCACTTGATGTTGTTGGTGAGGATGAACCAAATAGTCCAGGTTTTAATGCAGTTTTTACACCAAACAAACTAGCTGATTGGCCAGAGCTTGTACCAAACAAGCCTCCTGATTGGTTAGTTGCAGTGAAAGTACTCGTAATTCCAGTCATTCCCGTTGTATGCTTGGTTGAGTTGGCATTGTTGCCAAAGACACTTCCTGTAACGCCTGAAACACTGCTCTGTCCAAACACACCTGACTGGTTGTTAGTACTTCCTGTTCCAAACAGACCTGATAGGCTTGAACTGTCTGAAACAGTTGAAAATCCACTAGACTGGAGAAGAGGACTCCCACCTCCAAAGCTTCCTCCCAATCCCCCTTTTGACTGGCCAAAGGACCCACCGCTACCAAACATTCCACCTCCCGTGTTTGTCTGTTGAAAAATGGATGTTCCTGATTCCATGGCTTCTGAGCTCGGGAGTTTGGTCTGTTGCTTGATCTCTTGTTGCTTAGGGAAGTAAAATATACATCATTTGCCAGCCTAGGTTGGTCTGTACATAGTCTAAAACATTTCCCTCAGTCTTGAGTATGGTATGACTTTGTGGTCTTCAGCCTCAAACCATACTCAAGACCCTTCCCTATGAGGACCTCCTGACTAGCAAATAACATCAATTATATATTTCCTGATTGTTCAACAAATGTTTTCTGTCCACACTATCCCTTGAGGTCAAGGGGAAACAAAACTCACTATTTCCCCACAGGGCCAGTCATTAAGTGTTGTGTCATACCTCCCACCTCAAACATAGAAAAAAGAACTGTGAAAAAATTGTTTGCTTGATGCTGGCTGGCACAAAAACTTTGCTGCGTTTTCAAGGTGCACGACATGACCATGTACGGGTCAAAAGTTCAAGTTGTTGTTTCTCTACGGAGCTAGTGAGTTTTGACCAACAACACGTGACATGTTCTCCTCCAATCAGATTTGAGTTGGTAGGCCAATACTCCATCATGAATGCTAAAGCAAGAAATTCAAGAGTAAGGCCACTAAAAAGTAAATTATCAATGAATGAATGAAAATTCCGAAGAAAATCTAGGCTTGTAATAACTCGTGGCAGTTTAGGAGAACTCAAAAAAGCTGCAAAAACACTCAATTATTTTATGAGTGATAGTTGACGGGGGTGCGGCCTAAGTCAACTATCATGTAGAGAAATCTAGAACGAATAATCTATAATTCTAAATTATTGTTTTAGTACATAAATCTTACTATTCATTCAAAACTTTATCTATTAAAATCCTCTTCACAGATACTTTAAAAATGCAAAGTTGCAGACACCATTTTGCAAACAACCACACGCTGCTAGGCTACTCACTGCCTACAACAGAATAGGCAGTGAGTAGCGAAGCCAATCAGAAAATGGCATTTGTTATGAAACGCTAGGTAGACTTATCCTGAAACTTGATAGAAACACGGGCAACGTTTTATGACAATTAAAAAGTTAAAGTTAAAAAGCAATGATGTTTTGACTGTTGGACGGTCATTTTCAAGTTGAAAAGTAAAATTTTTTATATGTTCAAATATATACAATCGATTATAAGAATGCTAATGAGACACTGACTAAAACTCTAAAATATTTACATAGAAACAATACAAGAAAATTGCGGCATGAATGATAAAAAACGCTAAAGCAATAGAAACGATTTAAAAAATGAAATAATTAATAAGTAAATAGCTTCATGCGGATCGAGTCACTCTGTTTGTTAAGTTTTGGTTGAAGTTTACAAATAAAAAGAATTTCAAAAATCAAACAGTCAAGTTTACTCTGACATTTTTTCAAAATTCCGAAATTGCTTCCAGTGGTCTCTGGATCCTTTCTGTGCTCATCCTTTATGTGGTTGCTGATTGTTGATTGTGGGTTGCCGATTGTTGTTGCAGGCGAGCAAAAAACCATTTTAAGACGTTCACATTCTTGATGGAAGAACTGCCAATTCAAGGAGAGTTTGAATGCACGGTTTAACATTGTCTTCAGTAGAGAATGTTTCTACCTTACGTCAGCATGGCTTTGGTAATGCAGTAAAAGCTCACTATTGGTCAGTTTCACATGGACCTTTGTATATATTACGAAGGTCTACATGAAACTGACCAATACTGGGCTTTTAGGATCCAGAGACCATTGAAAGCAATTTCGGGATTTTGAAAAAATATCAGAGTAAACTTGACTGTTTAGTTTTTGAAATGCTTTTTATTTGTAAACTTCAACCAAAACTGAACAGAGTGACTCGATCTGCGCAAAGCTATTTACTTAATTATTTAATTTTTTAAATCATTTCTACCGCCTTAGCGTTTTTTATTATTCATGCCGCAATTTTCTTCTATTGTTTCTATGTGAATATTTTAGAGTTTTAGTCAGTGTCTCAATAGCATTCTTATTATCAATTGTATATATTTGAGTGCATACAAAAATGTTACTTTTCAACTTGAAAATGACCGTCGAACGGTGGAAACGTCGTTGCTTTTTAACATTAAATTTTCTAGTGAAATCCGTTTCTAAAAATTTGTTGATTCGAATGTTTTATTAATGACATTAAATAATTTTTTGTCAACTCCTTAAATACTACAAGACTAGACAGTATAAAACCTTCATCCCATTTGTATCTTTCGCACATATTTGCTTCCCTAAAGCTCAATTTAATTTTACTAACTTACAATCTGGGCGACTGACATCTGGCTCAACTGAAGTCTTCTTTGCTGATTCACACTTATAAGATCTTTTAGTCCTTGTTGCTGTAAAAAAGAGAATACAACTTATAAGGACCAGTATGTCAAATTGCTAAAATGGGTTTATTTCTTTGAGCTGTTTTAAAATGAGTGTCAAAAGTAAAAAGGTAATTAGTTTGGTTTTGGTTTTTAGGTCCAGGATTGAACAGTAATGAGATTCAAATTCCTTATGTAAATATGGTAAGCATCACAAAGTGTCCTCATTGTTGAAAAGTCACCAAAACACACACAATTCTGTGAAATATGAAGTAATATGAAAATGTCAAATAACCCTGCCAAATATGAAGTACTAATTAAACAATACTTGCATTCAATCCTGGACTCAAGTGTGGTTTTGGATTTACGATACTCAGTTGAAAATTTCTTTGTAGGTACGTATAAATTATTATAAACTATAATTGCAGTTATCAGAATGAGTGGAATCAAAATGCACATCTTATTGGTAATGTAATCGAGAGCCGTAAAACGGTAAAATCAAACCAATTACTTACCAATTAGACTACTCAGCCAATCTCAAACTGTAGTAAAACCAAAACCAAAACTAAAGGAATTAACTGATTACTTTTGCCACTCAATAGGCCCTTTGCATGATCCGGTCACATGGTGCGGAATAAATTATGCTGGGACGCAAGTGACACAGTGGGACTTCCAAAACAAAGGAACTCGTACCAGTCTGGCCCGACTTTCCTTTGTTTTAGAAGTCCCACTGTGTCACTTGCATCCCAGCATAATTTATTCCGTACCATGTGACCGGATCGTGCAAAGGGCCTATTGAAAACTGTTCTAAGGTCAATGTAAAATAGAAGCATCATTGATATGAATTATTAGTCAATAATTGTATATCAGAAACCAACCCTAATACTTACATAAGTATCCCCCTTTCCTTCAGCATTGGCTTTGTATGCCTCAAGACGGATTTCTTCAGCTGAGAAATCCAGCAAACCTGCAGCCACATAAATATAAATAAATATTAAATAAATAAATAAACAACAAATAAACAAACAAATAAACAAAAAATATATAAATAACTGGAAAAATACAAACTCAGATCAGTTATATGCAAATTTCTGGGATATACATGTATGTCGTCCAAAATAAATTATGTGACAGGTAATTTATTGATTTAGTATAAGGTACCTGAGTGTATATGCCAAATTGGTTATTAAGCTTGTCATGTTTTTCAATGTGCATGTTTGCATAAAATTTATTTAATACCAAATTATTATTGTTTCAAAGATTTAAAAGTTTCAGAAACATGCTGTTCCTTCAGAGAGGTCAAATCAAAGATTTACTTCTCTGAACAAAGTTTCTTTGTAGCCTGGACAATCAAACAAAGGTTTAATCTACATGTAAATGTATCTGATGGATGAAGAAGCACTTTATAGGCAAAACTCGCCTTGCAAACAGGGTTCTTCCTTTGTGTACGCGTAACATGACAATGGCCACTGGCTAGAGTTTCCCCAAATTTCCATGTCATTTTCTATTGTTTTTCTGTTGGGATACAAAACAATTTAATCTAAACAAAAAAGCATGGTTAACCATATACTGTACCAACCAGCTTTTCATTAGTCAAGTGTTTGAGACTTTTTTTTTCAATTCTCTGAAGATGTTTTTACTGATAATTTCTCATTATTAAATTATTATTTTTTTTTACACACATGTGCAGGTAACTGAGATTTTATGAATAAAGAGATTTGTTAAGATGGATTCTGCTAAAACTTCAAGAAATAAGTGCAAAAATTATTTACTAAAAATCTACTCATAGCATGGTAACTTTTTGAATATTATTTAAAACTTCTCACTGTAATTCATTTCTCTAGGTGTCCCTGTGATTAAATCCCCAAGCATTCTCGAGAAAGTTAATGTCAAACCTCATGAGAATGCTTGATGCGTGTGTTATTGTGTTTTCAACTAACCCAACACATCTGTTTTAATTGAAATATCGATAACTTCAAGTTCAATTTTCTCTTGCAAGGTCAGCTTTAGACCTTAACTCTCGATGAGTTCTTCTTACCTTTATTCAAAATATTACCATGGTATGAGGTTTTTTTGGTAACTTCATTTTTGCCATTATTGCTCGAATGTTCTGCGGAAATCATCTTAAAATCTAGCTTAATAAAAAATCTTGAAAAAAAGATAAATAAGTAGTATGCACACCTATAGCTTGGACGGCAACTAAAAAGTAAATGATATAAATATACTGTACTAGCAATAGCATTTTAGAAGTTTCTGTCCAAGCCCTAAGTGTGCACACCAATTTTGTACTCAACTCAGTTGCGTACAAAATTGGTACATGTACTGTATATGCATGCTATAATTGTTAGTAGTACTGTAGTGCAGTTACTTTTTAGTATAACCATCCAAGCCATAGGCATGCATGAACTGAGAAATTTGGATAAATTAATAAATAATGAAGTCTGACATTTGCACTATGTTTGGTGTAGACATGTATGCATTTGCATTGTGTCATCAGTTTAAGTATGTTTGCTGTACTTGATTTGAGATACTGTCTGCTCACTGTCTGAAGCATTTGAATGTAGACCACCAAATTTGTCCCTAGAACCAGTGGATAAAGCTTCAAAACGATTCTGCAAGGAGGCAAACTCAAATTAAATAGACATAAATACATGATAACAATCCACATTGTCTGTAAATGTAAGATGTATTTCATGCTTGAGTAAAATTAATTGAAAAAATTATGAGCACTTCATTAGGCTTACCAAACATTAATGAAAACCGAGTGAGTAAGCATGAGTATAACTTCAATTTCAATTTACTTGTTTGTTAATGCACACCAAAAACAGTAATTAGTGTCGACTGATTCCAAGTCAGCGGTTTTTCATTTGAGTGTTGTAAAACCAAACCAAACCAATTACTAACCAATTAGACTACTCAGCCATTCTCAAATTGTAGTAAATCCCACACAAAAACCAAGGTAAATTTGCCTGATTAATTTGAAATTCAGTTGAAAATTGCTCTATCACACACCAGGTAAGTGTAATTTGTTTTGCCAACACTCGTCCACTGGATGGTGATTTTTTTTTATCTGGTAGATGGCATTATACATGTACACTCTGAACAGCTGCACATCCCATTAACAGCCCATGTTAAACGGTAGTTAATTTTCCCGTGGAGGATTAATCATGAGGTGTAATACTGAACAGTGAAGCTGTCTGTGTTATACCTGACTGTTATGATAGGTTGACCTGTTCCACTGCCCACTCCTACCAAATGCTGACCGCTGCTGCTGACCAAAACCACCACCACCTGTATTAAAAAAGCAAACAAGTTCGAGAATCTAGAAATAAGTTTTAATCATTTATCATGTCCCTAACTGGAGAGGAAAAATGTGGTCATTTAAAAAAAGAAAAAAAAAACATACGATTTTTTATAGGGGGAGGGGGAAAGGAGAAGGGGGGAGGGTTGGGAGAATTTAAGACAGTTATGTAAGCCTGAGACGTAGTCGAGGGTTTGGATAACTCTCGAGAATTGTCCCATCCCCCTTGTGTTTGGATAAGGCTATGTAAATATGGAAAAAGTCCTATATTGTCTTCATAAACTTCATTAATTTTTTTTGTCAAAACCTGTGTTTACATACTCTAACCTAAACACACCTATCAACCATACTATCTTAAATATTAAATATAATTTATGGTAATGTATCGCATGCAACTCATGGCTAATGCAGTCCAGGTCTTCTTGTTCTTCTTGTTCTTCTTTATCATATCTTTTTCTAACGAATACATCCACAGCAAAGAAACAAGCAAACAAACATAATACATTGTAATTCTGTCTCAAAATTCCACAAGATGCATGACTCAAGCCCAGAGCCATTTATAGCAGTTAAATCACCACTGCACAACATTTGTGACGGCATGGTTTAAGGTAATTTCTGTTATACAATAATTAAGTGAATATAAATTTATATCAAATTACCTCCTCCACCGCTAGGATGTTCATTCCAGCATTTATCACCAAATCGACAGTATCCTTTCAAAAAATGTTGGCAGACTGTTTTCTTCTTAGCTTTAAGAAAAAGATCAACAAATCAAATTACAATTTTAGCTTGGATATCTACAGTATGTCCAGTTTATCTCTCATAAAAGAAAAAAATTAAAATAAATGATAACCTCATTTGTAATTTTTTCGTTTGGTTGTCAAGAATTCCTTTTTTAACTATACCTAAATTTGATACTTGGGTCATGCTTGTTTGTTTTCTGTTGAAACAGTTTTTATTCTCAGTCTGTGTTTCATACCCAGTGTACAGGCTGCATTAATTTTGTACCCACTGTGTGCAGTCTGCATTTTGTACTGAGCAGAAGCTTTATGCATGCACCTGATTTACAGTGAAGTCAAATTTGGTGGAAATGAGATCAGTCAGTATAAAATGAAAACTGTGGGCTGCAGAATGCAGACTGACTGCAGACCGGGCGTAAAATGAAGACCGATGAGAAATCTAGACTATAGAGCAGGGGTAAAGATGTTTTAAGTATATATCCTGTAATTTCCATTATCGAGTGCTAACTGTAAATAGGATTATTCAGACAGTCGGTGCAAAATGCAGACTGCGGACTGGGGTAAAATATAGACTGCAGATTGCAGACTTTTTAGGCATATATCATGCTATTTCAATCCATCACTGAGTGCTAACTGTAAACATGCCAGGGTTATTCAGGCTAAACATAGGGCAAGTCTGCACTTGGGTTAGCCTGAATACCACTCCAGTTAGCCTGATTATCACTCAGGTTAGCCCATTGAATATCACTCAGGTTAGTCTGATAAGGCTCCGGTTTGCCTGTTGAATTGCGGTCGTTTCACCCGATGGCCCATTCGCCCGAAGACGTTTCGCCCGATCTCAGAGTCGATTCGTCCGAAAAAAAAGTCGATTCGCCCGGACTAAGAGTCGATTTGCC